ATACTCTTTGCAATCCTTGCAAGAGTTTTTGTTTCTGTTCAATGTGTTTTATCATACCATAAATATTTACCCAACGTTTAGAGGGGACGACATGTTTTACATTGGTTGAAGAACGGATGAGACACATTACTCTTTCCCTTCACATATTAGAAGGTTTTTTTCTATTCTAAACATACAAAAGATTCTTGTCTTTATTGTTATCGACATTCAAATATAAAAAATATTTATCTATAAAAATATTTATTAATAAAGTTAGTATGGTATTCTAGTATATACCTTCATTTTAAACATATAATTCTTATGGTTTTGCGAGAGAGAGAGAGAGAGAGAGAGGGGGGGGGGGGGTAACGTCCACTCGACACAAACTAGGTCATTTCGGGACTTTGATTTGTCATTCAAAGAAAACATATTCATTTTATCATTCACTTTTTTTTAAATTGTTTGTTTATTTGTGGTTTCTGAGTATGATGTCTTGTCCATGTATTTGTTTTATGCAAATTGTGTGTGGTGCAGTCCCCCGGCACTTACTATTAGTATAAAAATGTTAAAAAATAATTAATAATCAGGTTGGTATGGTATCCTAGTATATATCTATACTCTCATCTGCTAAATACATTCAATTAAAAAAAAGACACTTACGACTTCCGGTTAAGTCTGTCCTATAATAGAATACACAATAAAGGAACGACTTTTGGTTCTAGTCTACCCTAGTAAACAACCTGATTAAACTGACATTGTGGAGCGAGAAGTCACCAAACTTATCAAACCCAGCAGCAGCAGATAGTGTCTGCGTAGAGAAGGGTCCAGATTTATCAAATAAAACCTAGCTGAGGACACATTCCTCATCCGAGTAACGTAAAGCAATAAACAATTTGCGCGTTTTCTTAACAGTTCAATATTTTAAACTGAAAACGGTACATAATCTGTTTCCATATTATTTGTGGTAAACAATCTGTTTCCAGATTGTTTGTGGTACATAATCTGTTTCCAGATTGTTCGTGGTACATAATCTGTTTCCATATTATTTGTGGTACATAATCTGTTTCCGTGTGAGGTACATAATCGGTTTCCATGTTATTTGTGGTACATAATCGGCTTCCATATTATTTGTAAAGCTGAAACCTGTGAAACAGAAAACGATACAAAATCTAGTTTCTATTTTATTTGGAAACCTAAAACCTGTGAAATCCTCAAATGTTTCATTATTCGAAACAACGTTACAAGCTATTACACATTGTAATGTAGGTAGCGTGACGAAGACTAGTTAACAAAGACAATGATTTGGTTTAGTAGACGACCACGTGTTAAGAGAGAAACACACTATGTCAGTCAAACAAATAATTAGCTCCATTTAAGGTTATGCTACACCGTAATGATAGTTATAAATAGAACACGCTTACAGAATTACCGTTTAATTATCCTTAATAATAGTCAATAAACTATTCATTTACAGTAAAACTATATCTTAATTCATACAGATTTTAACACTATAAATTATGAAATAACCCCGATAAAAAGGAATTGGGGCTTAACTTTTAAACAGCATACCTAGGTCATCTTGATTATTACACAAAACGGAATAGTTTTAATTCTTACTTTTCTGCTCCATTCGGGCTAATAAAGGTGGGCAAACGGCTTTTTTTCCCGAACGGCGACGCTGCAGTCTACTTTTATTTCTAGGCACTGTAGATGAAACACTAGTCGGGTGTATATATATACTTAAAATACAGATGTGACGTCGCCCTTTGATGTTGGCGTACCATTATTTCAAATAATGGAACGGGCAATGTGCCAAGCGTACATTATTTATACTAGTTGCAATATTGGACCCGCGTGACGTACTTCATTGAAGTACACATGCTGGATAGCGTCTGTATTTTAAGTTGTTTAATGGTCTCGTGCAAGACATTGCGTAATATCTATAATAGATATTGGCCTCGTGCTATCGCACGCGTACTATATCAATATATTACTTAATGTCTCGCACTCAACCATTAAACAACACATATTGTTTTGTATATAATTTGTTTTTATGTTCCGAAATTTCGGTAATTCTAATACAACTCTTTATGCACAAATATCCTATACTAATTAAAATGTCTTCCACAGACAGGTGTAAGTCATTGTTTTAGTAATAAGATGATGATCATGTTATTCCACTAAGGTAGATCGTGATTATTAAATAATATACACCGATATTAGTTGAGCATCTGTTATATTTTTTGACCACATTCTATACACACCGGTACTAAAATATTAATTCAGAGTAATGTTGACTTAGTATTATTTAATGTCATAAATTGTCACTTGTTAAAGTCATTGCCCTTTCGAATTCATTTTGAGTTTATGTATCCCTATAAAATATACGTGTAGATCTTCTGTAATAATAATATATGTATAACATTGCAATTTTCTGGAATTAATGGCGTCACAACATATTTAACCTCATATATTTAGCAATTTGATTAAAACTCAGATTCGATTTCGTTTCGTTTTTATAGTTCTAAATTTCGTTTTACTTTTCTCTACTACACTAGGATCTGGACGAGTTGTTATATAACTCCCTTTCTGGTTGATGTGAGGGGATTAGCCAATGAAACGGTCGGTTACGACGAGTTCTTGGCATGCGGTGCATGAAACTGTGGGTATCCCACCAGGAACATCAACGTTGATAACGTTGATTGATCAAATGTCTTAAGTCATAGGGTTAAAAGCCGCTCATATGACCCCTGACGCAACCTACCACTACATAACCTGCCAGTTCTTATATATTGTAGTTCTTATATATCGAAAGTGTAAAAAACGAAACGAAATATAGATCTATATTTTAATCAGATTGTATATTTAGTAATTGATGTTAAGTGAGGAATTGTCAGGAAATGTAAATAAACAAACCGCACGCACATAATTAGCGGTGAAAGCAGACTGGGTCGCACAAATTTGATTTGATTCAGAATATATAACTCAAACATATTTACCGTGATCTGCACTATAAAAAAATTGCACCAACTGTTCGACTGGCTATTAATAACAAACCATGTAAAATATTGCAATAACAAACTTCAGAAATAGTTTTTTTATTAATTCTAAAACCTTTGATAAAAGTGGAAACATTTAAAATGAACAGCGTGATATGGATTAGTATCTTTAGTGACGTAATACCCACAATTACATAAATCAATTTGAATGAGGAAGACCAATTATACAGCCTGTTTTATTAGAGTTCACGAGATAAAGATCAAAAGAACGAATTTACCTTCAAAGGGCGATAATCGTTAATGATGGAAAGAGAATAAAAATCTAAGACGCAACCTCACTTAAATAGAAATCAATGAAATAAAAAGGAAATGTTTTTATACGGAAACCTATATTACCTATATCTGTGCGTTGGTATGCGCGTCCTTCAATCACATAACCCATATTTATTATATCGTATTGAAAATGATATGATTTTTCTATCAACTATTGTACGTGACAAGGAGTAGGGTCGCATGTCCAGCCTCGTGGGTTTTCTCCAGGTCCTCCGGTTTCCTCCCACTACTAAAGACCCCTACGCGCAAGCGAATTATTGAAATAAAAATAAACCATATGTTAGTCCCGAAATGACCTAGTTTGTGTCGAGTGGACGTTAAACCCCATCTCTCTCGCCCTCTCTCTCTCTCTCTCTCTCTCTCTCTCTCTCTCCCACTACTAAAGACCCCTACGCGCAAGCGAATTATTGAAATAAAATTAAACCATATGTTAGTCCCGAAATGACCTAGTTTGTGTCGAGTGGACGTTAAACCCCATTTCTCTCTCTCTCTCTCTCTCTCTCTCTCTCTCTCTCTCTCTCTCTCTCTACCAACTGTTGATTTCCAAAGTTTATCAATAGATACTGGTGCCAAACTGCGATGTTAAGGTCCATATTATTCGTACCGATGCCAAATTCCGCGTTATTGATACCGATGCTAAATTTCATGATATTGATACTGATGCTAATTTCCATGCTAGTGATTTCGTGTTAATAATACTGGTGCTAAATTCAATATTACTGACACTAATGCTAAGTTCCGTTTTACTAATTTCGTGTTAATGATACTGGTGCTAAATTTCTTGTTACTTATACTGGTGCTATGTTTGATGTTACTGCATGATACGTATGCTAAGCCTTATATTACTGATCCTAAATTACGGTATACTGATACTGATGCTATAAGTTCCATCCTACTGATAGTGATACTGATGCTAAATTCCATGTGGCTGTTGCCGATACTGATGCTAAGTTCCATCCTTCTGATAGTGATAATAATGCTAAATTCCATGTGGCTGTTGCTGATACTGATGCTAAGTTGTATGCTACTGATACTGGCGTGAAGTTCCATATTCTTGATACCGATGCCACGTTCCATGTTACTGATACTGGTGCTAAATTGTGTGCTACTAATACGCATGCTAAGTTTTATATTACTAAATGAAATGAAATGAAATGGGGTTTAACGTCCTACTGTTTTGCTCCGAACTGGGCTAATGAAGACGGGCATACGCCATACAGTGTGCTATGAGGGAAATTTTGCCCGGACAGCGGCACTACGGCCTACTCTTATATCGAATTCCAACTGCCAAGGGATCTTTTACGTGCACGCCAATGTGTACACGGGACCTCGGTTTTTCGTCTCATCCGAATGACTAGACAGCTGTCCTTGTCAGGCCCTCCGTCCTGCATCACTGAGAAGGGGGAACCACGCCGGAAAATCGGGATGAACTTTTATATTACTGATACTAAGTTCTCTAATACTTATGCCTTTGCTAAGGTCCATGCTACTGATACGTATGTGAAGTTCCATGGTACTGGTACTGCTACTAAATTTCGTGTTACTTATACTAATGCCAAGTTCAGCTTTACAAATGTATCACGTTTCCTTGTTTTTGGTTTGAAAACAATATACTATAGCTTATCAATTTGAAGACAAAGGACACTGCTGGTTGTTAAGTAAGATTTTATTTTATTGTGTATATTTCAGGAATATGTTATTCTAAATCAGTGTGGGATATATGGTGGAATTATGAAGGCATATCAGGTAATTAAATACACGTTACCCTATATACAACAAATATTGATAATCTCATTACCTTTTTGAACCAGAAACCGACTGTATAAATACTCCTTAAACAACATTTAATAATTGAACACATTTAATTAAACACAAGAGTTTAGTGGTTTATCGCGTGCGTGTGAAACCATAAGATCTGCCATTGATTACAGTGGCGTGGTTTCGATTCTCCGCTTGTACGTGACAAGGAGTGGGTTGCCTGTCCAACCTCGTAGGTTTTCTCCGGGTCCTCCGGTTTCCTCCCACTGCTAAAGACTACTACGCGCAACCAGATTATTGAAATGAAATTGAAACATATGTTAGTCTCGAAATGTCTTCCATCTTAGTACACTGGACAAATAACCTGTCATGCTTGTTCTTTCGTAAATTTGCGCATCGAATGTTGATATGACGTCACAATTGCAAGGTGGCTGCGATGACGTCATGCTCGTACTTGTGTCATCAATCGGGATTTTTTTTCAGATAAATGGGGAACCCAGTTTATCTTCTGTTAAATTCTTATTCCCATCCTCGCAACCCCCTAGTTCCTATGCAAAATGAGATTTTCAGAAATTCTAATGCAAGGTTCCCTCTATCACGATTCGTGCTACGATTGAAATCGTGATTTAATCGTGGAGTGATCGTGGTGATCCTATCGGGTCTTATCATATATTGATGTCAGTCGTAGCAATCGTGTTGACCGTAACCAAAAGTATACCAACGTATCTGCACGTAGCAGATCTTGGACTCAATAGGGTCAATCCTATCGTAAAGACAGTGGGAACCATGCCTAACTATTTTTTATTATTGTTTTCAGAAATTATAACTTATCTTGTTTATTGATTTTAGCTATTATAACTAATCTTTTTTATTGTTTTCAGGGCCTCAGTATTGGGGTGTGGTTAATACAGATTATGTGATGTGTAAAAAAGGTCGACAGCAATCTCCTATAAATATCGAACCGTCGAGATTATTGTACGATCCCAATTTAAAGCATCTCCAGATAAACTTTACTGATGTAAGTAACAAACAAACTCTTATAAAAAACCCTCTGGTATAAAATAAACTTGACTGATGTAATGTAAACTTGACTGATGTAATGTAAACTTGACTGATATAATGTAAACTTTACTGATGTAATGTAAACTTTACTGATGTAATGTATATTTTACTGATGTAATGTACACATATAATGTAAACTTTACTAATATAATGTAAACTTTACTGAAGCAATGTAAACTTTATTGATGCAATGTAAACTTTACTGATGTAAGTAGCAATAAACTCTTATAAAGCCCCGATGATGTAATGTAAACTTTACTGATGTAATGTAAACTTTACTGATGTAATGTAAACTTCACTGATGTAATGTAAACTTCACTGATGCTATGTAAACTTTACTGATATAATGTAAACTTTACTAATGCTAGGTTCCCACTGTCGTGCGACTGATCTCAATATATGATAATGAGACCTCATAGGATCACTACGAATACTCCACGATTAAAACCACGATTTCGATCGTAGCAGGAATCGTGATAGTGGGAACCTAGCGTGATGTAAGTAGCAAACATACTCTTATAAATAAACTGATCATTCGGTGAGCTGACGTAAACTGTACGATGCAAAATTGTTCAGGAAGATATTTAGTGATTGCACTGGTAATACACATTGGACTGTTATGTAGATTTAAAGGGCCAATCCCGATAATATTTTGGAGAATAAAACTGCTTAATTTTGTGTTAAAATCCCTTTAAATCATCTACCTTAGGGTCCAGCAACAAACTCAACATATGTGATACATTTTCAAACAACTTAAACCCGTCAGTCTTTATCTGGAAATGGAGACCGGTGTCCAAAGCTGTATTATGCAGTGTCTGGATAAAACTAGACTTTTAGTTTATAAAAATAATGTGTAGGTGAAATTTACCTTTCGTTATCAAGTACAGCACATGGGCCATTCACTGTATAGACTTCTAAATGAACAGGAATCGATTATCAGGTCACCCGAAATCTTAAAAGGGTTACGTGTCCGGGTAAGCAGTTTTGACATTCACGTCCAAACGACTGAATATTTTGAGCTGAAATTTTTGAGACAGGGTAAATACACCATTCCTCCATATTTTGGTACGTAAATTTCATAAGTACTCAGAATTTTATTTTTGAGGCGCTTTTCAAATCGGGATTGTCCCTTTAAATACTGTTTTTTTTTTAACTGTCACATTTCCTTCGTAAACAATAAATGTATTCCACACAATAATGCCATGTGCTTTTCCAAAAGTTGTATGCCTTTCTGGTATAAGGTATACACTCATGTGTATCAGTTCAGCATCCGTCCATCATTCTTGTAATCACTTTACAGTCTATAACTATTCGATTTTTTTTCGAATTTCAAATTCACGTTTTGATTTTTGAAATTTGTGTACGAGATATAGAATGAACTGCTCTGTGGTATTTTATTTTCAAACATGGTGGATTTGTTCATTTGGACAAAAGGATAATCCCTGTTGAAATTCCAGACTGTAAATTTCGTCATTTGAAATATTTGAAAAATTATTGGGAGAAAATCATTTGGCTATTATTTAGGTTGGAGCAGGGATACCGATTAGCCGAAGGGGGTATTAATTACAACAGATCAGATCTCTAACTGTTTATAAATTTCCCATTTAATCTTTGATAATTTGAATATCCATTGCTGATGTCTGTCTAAGTAAAATCTGTGTAGAATTATTAGACACTAATGTTTATCTATTATATGCAGACAAATATAATATATTATCCATTTATGAAATCGATTTCAATTAATCTGCATTCGTCTATGACCTAGGGTCACTATAAACTCGGTTGACTATATGAGCGCCCAAGGGCATCAGTATTTTCACAACAAATTCCATCTTATGCGTAGTCAACTCAAGATTTTCAAGGACCACGGTGGTTATTAGAACAAATCGCCAAATGAATGCTTAACCAATGTAGTCAAAAGCCATCTTATTTGAAGAACCCGATGTTTTAGGGGGGTTTCAAACGCTATAACAACATCCTACTACCCTACCACGACCACCCGTGCCTACTTTAGGCTTTAAGTAAACATTTTGTTCTGTAAAACCGGCGTTAGACGAGTAGAAACTCCAAGTTTGTTAATGCTGTATGTAATGCTTTTAGGTGAATGGTGTGTTAATATTGTATATATGTAATGTTTTTAGGTGAAAGGTTTGTTAATACTCGATTTATGTAATGCGTCACGCGAAAAGTGTGGTAATGCTGTATTTATGTAATGCGTCAGGCGAAAGGTGTGGTAATGCTGTATTTTAGTATTGTTTTGGGGTGAAATGTGTGTTAATATTGTATATTTGTAATATTTTTAGGTGAAAGGTGTGTTAATAATCTATTTTTGTAATGCGTTAGACGAAAGGTTTGGTAATACTGTATTTATGTAAAGCGCCAGGCGAAAGGTGTGGTAATACTGTATTTTAGTTATGTTTTGGGGTGAAAAATGTGTTAATATTGTATATTTAATGTTTCAGGTGAAAATGTGTAATACTGTGTGTATGTAATGTGTCAGATAAAAGGTGTGGTGATACTGTATTTTAGCAATGTGATATATGTAATCATTTCAACTGAAATGTGTGTTAATATTGTATGTATGTTAGTTTGCAGGTGGAAGTCTTGTTAATACAAGTATATAATTATATTCAAATGAAAGTGTGTTATTACTGTATAAATGTAATGTTTTCAGGCGCAAGGTACGTTAATATTGTATTTGCAAGTAAAAAGTGTGTTAATTTGTATTTTGGTAGTGATAGGTGTTTTAATATTGAGTTTTTGTATTGCTTTTACGGTGAAAGGTGTGTTAATATTGTATTCATTTAATGTTTACAGGTTAAAATTGTTATAATACTGTATTTATATGTAATGCGTTTTGGTTAAAGGTGTGTGGATATTGTATATATAATGTTTTCAGGTGAAAGGTGTTTTAATACTGTATATATTTAATGTTTCCAGGTGAAAGGTGTGTTAATTAATACAGGTAGAGATATATCTATAGAGATTCAGTCTACTGGTTATAACCATTTAAATATATCACTAGGACCTTTATCTTATACATATCGTCTAGAAGAAATCAAGTTTCATTTCGCTAATAAAGATCAAATAGGATCCGAACACAGAATTAATGGAAAATCGTTTCCTGCAGAGGTAAGTATGTATTTTTGTTTTTATTTGTGAATTGCTTCAGAACAAAATCAACACAATTTACAGACGGATTAAAATTTTCAAAGTTGTGTTTTACTATAATTGACAATATCAAAGATCTAACCCATCAAAGCATTTTTCATGTGCCTTCGGAAACTCCTTGAAAACCACCTTTGCTACAATAAATTATCGATTAGCGATGATCAGCCTGAAATTCTGCCTCTAGTGCAACTTGTACATTGCCAATACAGAGGTAAATCAAAATAATTTTTACCAACTTTTGAAAATCTTCAAAGCTATACTCTTTAAAGTCGTCATTTACACTTTTACATCAATATCTATATGTTCTCGATATAATCCACCGTAAAGCGTACCAACTTGATTAGTTAATATTTAGTACCATATCCAGTTTATAAATTCATCCGAGGGTGCCGAGTGTTGACAAAATTCTAATTCACCCTATCTGTAAATGCTGAACAGGATTGAACTATTTGGGGATAAGTGTTCCTTTAGAGATCGAAATTTCACAACAATGCAGCTTGCATGTAATCTGGAATCACAATCTTTCAAATGGCCCTCTTAGACTTTAAACTATGGAAGCTATTTCATCATCTTTCAGCATTTGTAAGTCCTTAGTTCTCCATTATGTTACCTCGTTTGTATGTTGACACATGAAAATCAGCTCACTGAATAGTGTTTTGTTTGTATTGAATATCGACCCATTGACAAGTAGGGTAAACAACCCTGATCAGCCAAAATCCCCCCCCCCCATCGCATCGCAAGTAAAATTATTCTTAATAAATAAAAGTTCTCTTTTAACAATAAAAAGTTCTCCTTTGATAAAAAAAAGTTCTCTTTTTAATAAATACAAGTTCTCTTTTTAATAAATAAAAGTTGTCTTTCTAACAAATAAAAGTTCTCTTTTTAATAAATAAATGTTCTCTATTAAAGGGGCTAAATCGCCAATATTTGGGACCTAGAAATTGACACAAATGGCAGGCAACGCATATAATATTATTGTAATATCAATGAATATAAACTGGTTTACATTCAATCGTTTCCGTTTTTACTCTTAATTTCAAATCAGTTATGTTCGGCAATTTCTAGCGTCTGGTTATTCCAGGTTACACCGACAGTACTTACTGAGCATGCTCTCCAGATAAGAATATATAGCGTCACCTTTTGACATGACTTGAGGAATTTGTACCCTCGTTCTTCGAGTCACTGGTTACAAATGGCACTGAAATGCATTATGGTACACGATTCGTGTATCAATGGTAAAATGTTTATTTTATCTTAAATATTGGATATCAGAAGCCCGTATTCTCCCGGTAATATCACAACATCAATGTTGATTTCATTTGACAACTAATTCGTGTTTTCAATGTCGACGACTCTGGATGATACTGACTTAGAGACTTAGCAACTTTAATAAAATAGTTCACTTTTTAATAAAATAAAGGTTATCCTTTTGATAAAAAACTTTATCTTTTTTTTTTTTAAAAAAAAGGACTCTTTTTAATAAAAAAAAAGGTTATCTTTTTAATAAAAAAAAGGTTATCTTTTTAATAAAAAAAGGTTATCTTTTTAATAAACAAAGGTTATCTTTTTTAATAAAAGTTATCTTTTTTAATAAAAGTTATCTTTTTAATAAATAAAAGTTACCCTGATAATTTATAAAGGTTATCTTGATAATTTATAAAAGTTCTCTTTTTAATTAATAAAAATTCTCTTTTATTAATAAAGGTTATCTTTTAAGTAAGTAAAAGTTCTTTTAAATAAATAAAAGTTCTTTTAAGTAAATAAAAGTTCTTTTTAATAAATAAAAGTTCTTTTTAATAAATAAAAGTTTTCTTGATAATTGATAAAAGTTTTGATTAATAATAGTTCTCTTTATAATTACATGTAATAATAGTTCTCTTTTTAATTAATAAGGTCCCCTCTTCAAAATTTATATTTTGGATCTCTTTTTCATAATTGCAGTAAAACAAAGTCCACCCAAAACCAACGTCGAAAAAAATCTGAGAATTGTAATTTATTTTCGCTGTGCGTATCTTGTCTGTAAGATGGTGAAAAGTAGCTTTTGTAATATTTATTATTGGGGAAATGGTTAACTATAACCGCGGAAATATTGATCATTCCCTTGACAAAAGATCGAGATCGCTTGCCATCTATCTTTCTTTATTTGATTCTCAAATCAGCTTTTACTGAAATCCATTCGTCTCTAATTTAACTAATAAACAACCGTAAAAACATAGCTTTATCAATCTGAACGACTGCGATCTCTTCCGACAAATTCTTTTATTAAACGAATTCATCATATTTCTTGGTTTTTCTCTTGGCGCGGAAAATAGAGACAGAAAACCCAGACGAATTTTGCAATTAGCGGTAACATTCTAGTAAGGAAACTTTGGTCCTCCTTTCAATCGGGTCCCCTCGTTTAAACTAATAACTTCACAGAATTGGAAAGTAAAAGCTCATTCCCTAGACTAAAATATAGTAGAAAAATATTTGTTTTAAAGTGATATTGTTAGACGGACACGCATTAAATAATATTTGTTTTAGTGAAAACGAATAATGACGTTCAAAACATTTGAGGTTATTGATGTGTATGGACCCAGAGTTATTGGTACTTGCCATGGGCTACATGACGAATTACATATTTATAAATAATTTTAAACTTTGTAGTTTCTTTAACCATGGTTGTTAAAATTTAAGACATCATTCTGTGGTGACGTCTAATCCATGTGCACTTTCTGGTTTAAAGGTTCCGTGGCGGCACGGTATGTAAGGCACTATATCACTTAGAGAATGCCTTATCGCCACTGCCCGTGCAAACTTTCCCACGTGACACACTCCATGCCGTATGCCTGTTTTCATTATTCCGGTTGGTGTAGAACAGTAGGACGTTAAACCCCATTTCACTTCATTTCATGCTGGACAGGTCATGTTCTGTTAGTTTACCAAATCACGTTCTGAAGATGACATGGTTCAGTGGTCTGACTTGTGGTTTAGTTTATTACATTAATGACAGGTATTAACATAGTTTGTCATCCTACAAGTCTACAGACTGACCGGATATTACAGATATATTATATCTACATAGACTAGACTCAGCATTGACCAGCTCAAATAATGTACCTCCAGCTATATTGGTGCAGGTCTTGGCTTCTAACATAAGGTTACGATAACTCTTAATTTTTAAACCATTTGAGACCATTGGGTAATTTTACCAATTGTTCTGCATATACACAATGTGTGCGCGGGGGTACATAAGGGTCTTTAGCAGTTCTTACTCCTTCCTACATACAGACCTTGGATCGGAACATATTTTGAAGACCGCAAAAATAAACATTTTTATTTGCTGTATCGAGATTATGAAATTTGCGTTCGGGGTTTGATGGTCTAGTGGTATAACGCCTGCGCATGGAATCACAAGGGCTGTCAAGTGGCATTGTTTCCATTCACCGCTTGAATAAGGTCGCCTGTCCAACCTCGTCGGTTTTTTTCCGGGTCCAGCGGTTTCCTCCCAATGCTAAGGACCCCTACGCGCAAGCGAATTATTGAAATTAAATTGAACCATATGTTAGTCCCGAAACGACTATTTACTGACAGCATTTTAATTCCGTTTAAAACGACTTTGGTTCGGTTGTCAGAAGTTCAGTGTGTCTTTGTTCTATAGACCATATTTATTCTTTCTATCGTCTTACATTATTGTAATAAAGTTACAGAAATTAATAGCCGCTAGTAAAAAAAACTGCTACAATTAATACATTTGCCGTGGAATTAGTTGTGGTAATGTAACAAATACGTTTACAAATCAATCCACGACCAAACATTTTATAAAACAAATCCTATGCTACAGACAGTGCAGTGCATTCAATGAACGCAATTTGATTCAACCTTCGGCTACTTGATAGACATCGATGTTTGATGCCTTCATAGTATGACAAATTAGTCATGATGTGTTGCGTCTATGTGACTACATCGATAATATCAGTGGTGGGTCTACCATACATCAGGCTGGGCAACCCTTTAGTTTATCGGTAACATCTCGAGAATCAATAACAAAATGTTAGTTCAGGTCTAATTGCTGGGTTTAACACATGATGAATTGCTCAAATCTTTATGAAAATCAATACCAATAAATTGAGTTTATTAGTTTTAGAGTTTGGGGAAAATTTGGCGGAACATTTCCCGAGAGAGCGTTTTTGAATGTTAGACAACTTTTCTTCTCCCTTGCTATCCTCTGACCTTCGACATCGTTTAGAACCGATTTCTGGAAGTCTTCCAACAAGCAAAAGAACATTCTGCAACAAACTATTGAACCTTATCAGTTCTCGTGAATAACATTCAAATTAGCCTGCTATATGGTGTTTATCGTCATAATAAAATCATATATACAAATATTTGTTAAACGTGTAATTACAAACAGCTAGGACAAATATATATCATGTAAATATGGATCATAGTTCATACTTATATTAAAATCTACCAAACGATGTATCTAATATGAAGTTCGTTATACCAGTTAGTGTGCACTCCGGTTATTTGTTTTTTTGGGGTTTTTTTTTGTTTTGTATTATGGTAGTTTCTTTGAACTCTTCATATTTATGTTTTTACTTATTTATTTTTCAATTTGTAGTTTCCGAGACACTATTTATGTTTTTACTTATTTATTTTTCCATTCGTAATTTCCGCGACACTATCGTAATTGTATTTTTGTTTTTATTATTTTTGATATACCATCCTTTTCATTTTCAATGTTGAAACAGTTCTATTTATATGCTGGTAAGGAGATGATGTTGTTACAAGTTTTGTCAGATCATTTTGTACAATGTTTTGTCGATAGAATAAATAAAGAAAAAGAATTAATAAGATTCAAGCCAGACATAAACCCGCCATATTGTTTTAGTTTGAGTCAATTCGTCTTTTATTTCCAATATATAAAAAAGAAATCAGAGTTTCCACTTACAGATTGAAATTTGGTAATAGATAGCTCG